TTTTGTCTGTACTCTGCTGGCAATATCAAACAGATAAAATGAAACAGAACAAAAGGAAATAAAACCTTTTTATACCTCATATCACTACCAACAAAATAGAAAAAATCATGCTCTGGCAGGCCGCCAAGCTCTTCTTTCAGCTGTTCTTCAGTGAGTGATGGAGGAAGGCGTCGAATCACAACCTCAAAGGACATTGGAAAAGAAACGTGACTACATGTATGCAAGCAGTTGACTTGGGTCTTAGATTTCTTACTCAAATGCATTTGAAAAAGGCTAGACTCCATGACTGTTGTTACACCGTAGTTCTAAAATAGTTTTCCAGCAAATAATTATACAAAGCTTATTCAAATTCTAAATCATTATTAATAAATTTGAAAACGTAACTTTGACAATGCTCTGATATTCCGAGTTGATGTAAGCTTAGTAAGCTTATAAAGTAATGTAAGTGTAGGACATACGAAACTCGAATGTTGTAGAGAGATAGACAAACAATTAGATAGAGACCAAGCTAAATTCAAAGCTCAGAGCAATTTAAATAAACACCTTTGTCGGAAACAGCAGCCTTTCTTTCTTGGTTTTGGAACTGGGTGGCTTTTCGATTTCACTTTTCCCCATTTTCCTAATCAACGTTGATTTTCACTACATCTTCGCCATCTTTGTTATGAAAAACTAGTTTCAGTCTCTCGTCGATTGTTGGAAATTTCGTGTACCAAAAGCATGACGTACAAATATTTCATGCAATCACCGCTGCTCCAAAAAAAATTGATTTCTTTCCTCACATGACTTCCTCGCGAAAATAGTGTGCTAGTGGATCGCTACGAGAAATCACCGTAGTTTCGTAAATCTTATTAGTTTTCACTCATGGAAAAGAACGTCAAGATGAAGAAGAAGGTATGTGTTGATATTTTTATGCTGCTTTATTTCTTTGTGAGAGTTAAGATGCGTTTTAACATTAGCGTGTGTTTTGTGGTCGTCAAAATTTTTGAAATCTTTTAGGTTCTTCTTATGGGCAAAAGTGGCTCTGGTAAAACAAGCATGAGGTCGATTATTTTCGCAAATTACATTGCAAGAGACACAAGAAGACTTGGAGCGACAAGTAAGTCTCTCCTTTCATTAATTTTGTAATCTTTTAATTGTTTTGAGTTCGTTTTCTCCATTAAAAAACGCTTTACATTTTGTCGCGTTCGTTAATTGTAATCTGTCAGTGCGTATGAAGAGACCGTTCCGTTCTGTGTAATCAAATTTAGTAAACCTTAATTTGTTCTCTCAGTGTACTTTCGCCTTTTTGATTTACAGTTGACGTTGAGCATTCCCACGTCCGATTTCTTGGCAATTTGGTTCTCAATCTGTGGGACTGTGGAGGGTAAAAATCATGCATTTATGTGCTAATCAGTATTTAGTTAAATCCTTATTGTGAACCTACAGCTGTAACTCAACATTCTGACAAACCATCAGCTTTTTGTGGGCAGTAAGGCCTAACGGCGTAAACGACATATTGATGTAACGACTTACGGATGGCTTATATCAGGAATGTGAACATCTACATAAAGACATAAGGAGAAGATTTGTTTTTTTCCCCTTATGTCATTATGTTCATGTTGTTATGTTGCTATAACAGTGTTTCGTATTGTCAGGATATTCACACTGCAAAGGTCACAACATAACTATACTATGCTTCTTACGTCATCACGTTTATGACATTATGCCACTAGGCTAGTGTGAACTAGGCGTTTGTGCAAGGCATGTTATCTGGGCAAGAGTGATAGCAAACCCTGGCAATCAGTGTTTAATGTAAAGTCAACGTCTAGTTGTAGAGGTCAAGAACATCATGTAGACGCTACCATTGTCAGTGAATGTTTCAAGCCTTGTCAAACCTTCAACTGTTATCTTGTTAAGAGTAGACCCTCTAGCCTCTTAGAGGTGAAGCCTTGGTAGAAATAATTACCTTTGTCTTACTTTTTGCAGACAAGAGGCATTTATGGAGAACTACTTTACAAGTCAAAGAGACAACATTTTCAGAAATGTTGAAGTACTTATCTATGTGTTTGATGTGGAGAGTCGAGAACTGGAGAAAGATATGCACTATTACCAGACGTGTCTAGAAGCTATTCTTCAAAACTCACCAGATGCCAAGATATTCTGTCTTATTCACAAAATGGACTTAGTCCAAGAGGATCAGAGAGACACGGTGAGAAAAGCCTGTTATATTGAGAATTCTCCTATTTGTTTTCTTAAATTGCATACAGTTGAACCTGTCCACAATGGCCACCTTGGGGACAGCGGAAAGTGGCAGTTGTAGAGGAAGGGACCATAATTTTGACGTATGGGTGTAATTGGGCACCTGGTTTTTGCGGGTTGCAACACACTTTTATTTTTAAAAATGCTTATTGTAGCATAGAAATACATAACACAGTAAAATATACAGTTCATCAATAAAACAGAAACCGAACAGAAACAGGAACCACTGAATGATGCATGGTACAGATCAAGCCAAGTGACATTTTACAATAAGTGGGTTTATGTATACACCATTCATCAGTTGTTGACCAACTGGCCATGTTATTTTGGCAGTTGGGATGTGCTGTAGTCATGGTGTTGCCATCTTGGAGAGGTGACCATTGTAGAGAGGTTGAAATGAGAGTGAATGTATAGATTGTCCATTGAAACAAAACAAAATTGGCCATTAATAGCAGATGTTGCCATATGCAGGTCACAAAAATATTTCATATTTTATTCACTTAGTAATAACAATTACAATATAATTACGATGTTTTAAATTTTATAACTGTACGCAATTTTTTTCAGATTTTCAGAGAGCGTGAAGAGGATCTCAAGAGACTGTCAAAACCACTGGATTGCACATGTTTCCGAACATCTATTTGGGATGAAACACTGTACAAGGCTTGGTCATCGATTGTGTACCAACTCATTCCCAATGTTACACAGCTGGAACAGAATCTTGAGAACTTTGCATCCATCATTGATGCAGATGAAGTCCTTCTGTTTGAGAGAGCCACATTTCTAGTAAGCTTTCATTTATTTGCATCTTCTTCATATAACCTACCGTGCTTAAATCCTTGATTGTCATTCCAATTTCAGGTTATTTCTTATTGTCAACGCAAGTCTCATAAAGATGTACACAGGTTTGAGAAAATCAGTAACATCATCAAACAGTTTAAATTAAGTTGTAGGTAAGTCGTAAATTAATCAAGTCTTAATTGTTTCAGTTGATATTTTCACTGTTCAGACTATTTGCAGATCACACTCATTGAAGCAAGTCTGCTTTGTAGTTTTTATTAAGACTTATTGTGTTTTTCTTTTCTTCTGAAAATTTTTCCTCCAACAATTGGGCTTCCCAACCTACCTGCAAGCAGGCTTTTGGCCAGATGGGACTCTAGGCGTCCTGTAGATGGCCATTTATTAAAGAAAATCGTTTATGTTTCCTTATAAATTGTTCATTTGAGCAGGCCCTCTAGTGCATTTTGGATGTCCAACTTTCAAATCGTGGCTAAAAGCCTGCCTGCAAGTCTGCCTTATCAGCCAGTGTTGACAACTAATGTTTTGGATGGTTCCTTGCCAAGTTAACTTATTCTTCATTTCTATCTTTATCAGTAAACTACATGCTCATTTTCAAAGCATGGAGGTGCGCAATTCAGCATTTGCAGCTTATATTGATGTCTTTACCCCAAACACATACGTCATGGTTATCATGTCAGATTCTACAATCCGTAAGTACAAGCACATTAATCTACTAGCCATGAGTGATTTCACTGTATATCTTGTGGGCCCATAAATCAAGAGCTGATTTTTAGAGGAGCGGTGTTGCAATATTTTTTATGTCACAATACACTGTGGTTTTTCTGTGGTTTTTCTGTCCGTTAACACACAGTTTTGTTTCCTATAGCATCGGCTGCCACACAGATTAACATTCGCAATGCAAGGAAACACTTTGAGAAGCTTGAAAAGGTTTCAAGTAATGGTCAGCATTCTCTAAAAGGAAGATAAAGGATGTAGGATGATATCATTCCTACAAGAACATTCTCCATAATAATATTATTGCTACATAAAACAGAAAATAATGCTAGAATGGCTAATGACATTGTAAATTATAGTCTTTCCATGTTATTAGGAATAGCTCTCAGTTTTGTATGTCATATTATCATTATTGCATTTTGTTGTAATAATCATTATTTACAGTCATCAATACTGGTAGTTTTATTTAGTATCTCCTGTTTCTAAAATTGTACTTTGGGTGGTCATGTCTCCAAAAAAATTCACTGAGTCATGTCCCATCCACACACAAGTGCTCTGTTTTGTGATCCCTAGCCAGGTATGGGACACCTTCCCTAAACAAGGGTAAATGAAGTTGTGATTAGCCTATTATAATTCGTTGACTCTGCATTCACAACAGTCATACACAAGAACTTGATATTCAATTTAGGCGAGAGAGGCTTGAATATTTAGCACTCTCTCATGTCCTGTCTTCTTTCCTCCCTGAGTCAGTAAGAGGAGTGCTTGTTATTCAGCCGACACCCAATTAAGAAACAGAAATTTTGAACATCTTGTTTGCAATATGCAATGGAAATAAAAGCAAGTTTAATAAGGTTGCTGCATATACCTGTGGTGATCCTGTGCTGTAGGCAAGGGCATACAAGGCATACTATGGATTTTTAATACGGCCACTTGAAATGTTGCATGAAAACAATGTTTTGAAAAAATCCAAAATTGCAACGTGACTTTATGATTATTATTTTCTGAGTGGTGCAAACACATTAGTAAACCTATCACAGTTTGCATTCTAAACCTGCTGTGGTATAAATTACACAAACTGTACAATTCTTCTGCTAGCTGAGTGATTGCTAACCTGGCCAGACCTTTGTCTGAGTTGTTGTCATGTGTAAAATATATGGGATATATATGTTGCCTTTGCTGAACACAACGCGAGTAAAAACATTCATTAAAGGGAAAGAAATGTTTACAGAGTCATTAAATCGTAACTGAAATTTTGGGTTTACACTGCTGCTTCTCTTTCGAAATTTACTAGGTAGTATGGAGCAGGAAGACGAGAAGAGATTGAGGCGACACATTCGTCTCGCACCAATTCCCTCTCGCTATACTCTCTCTTCGAGAAGAATACGTGACGAATGTCTTGGTATTTGGAAATGTTGTAAACACTGTCCTGAGAGTTAATAATAATAATAACAATAATAATAATCATAATCATAATCATAATCAATAATAATAATAATATTCTCTCAATCGAAACTGAGCAAAGGACAATAAAACAGAGGTCTAATAACATCGTGGAAATCACCGTCACGGCTATGATTTCTTTTATTTACCAAACTAAATGATTGACTTTGGAAATGAAGGCTATCAAACTCTGGGGGTGGGGGAGCGGGAATTGTTGTTAAGATAACGTTAAAATAAACTGGCCCACAAACCACCCGCTGATTACCAAATACTAAGCTCTTTATTGTGACATAAATTACTTCTCAGCTGCTTTTTATACAAATTTTTTAAACTTTCAAAAATAAGCCCTTGTCTCGTATTAAGAAGGAGGGGACTTTTATGAGACGCTTTTGTTCCCAAACTGTCCTTTTTTATTGCGGTGGAGGACACGGGAGAAACACCTGTTTCTATTGTCAAAGGTTAGTGGTATTGCTACGCTTTATTAACTCTGAAGAATAAACGTATTTCCAATGTCTTGGGTGAAGAACCGTTGCAAATTCCATTCCATGTTTTTACAATGTGAAAGGGCCATATATTGGGGTGAAAATTATTTTCTTTTCCGTTAACACATGCATGGTATTTCTTTGATACAACCTTACTTTTCGATAAACAAGCTTTTCTTATAATCACAAAGTGATCTGTGAACAACACAACAGAAAACGATGGTAAAAATTGTTTCTCCGCGCCAAATTGCGCAACATTCCGATTTTATATTGTCCTTCTGTAAAATGAGCTGCAGACATTTGCCGCGAGGGAACGAATTACAACTTGAAGTTCATTTTTAGAGGCCCTGCTAACATTTAAGGTCCGTCCCGCATTTTCCACAAAACCTGTCGCCAGATCGAGGTTTTGTTCCACATCGGAAACAGGCCGACACCTCATTGTCAGCAAAGCTGCTTTCCCTTGATGGAGGCGGTGAGCCTGAATAGGTTGACAAAAACGCAGGTCTAAGAAGACCGCTTGTAGCATTAAATTCATGTCGTTCTCCGTCGTCGTTCTCGCATCTATGATTCTGTATAGGGAGGCTTCTCAAATGAGCAGGCCGAGAGCGCAACTCGGCATGCGCCTGTGCAGACAAACCTCCCATGGAAGTCAGTGGAAGCGCCGCTGTCGTGGTGGCGGCGTTGTGTGACGTCAGCGGTAAAGTGAGTGGCGCAGTAGGAAATATACTTGGTTTTACTCCTGCGAATGACATGCTGGGAAAGCAAGAACTTAAAGTGACACTAGGCAGACGGGAAGGAACTGCTTCTGGGAAGTCAATGGAGTGACTCTTGCCCGCTAGAATGCACTCAATCGCCTGGACTATATCACCACTGCAGCCTTTCAAAACAAGCTCCAATACGTTCTCCTTGTGTGAGGGGAAAACCTTGCTAAGTACCTCGACTGGACGAGGGGGCTTTCTTCTTTTCAACGCAGATTCGCCGAGGCTCTTTTGCAGAAGTTTGACAGTGTAGTCGAAATCGTCTTGATCGCGGAATGTAGAGCTCCATGGAAACTGGAACGTAGGTCTCTCGCTTTCTTTGACCATGTGGTCAACATATGACCGGCAGTTGTCGTGCACGTGAAAGCGGGGTGATGGCGAGCGGCAAACACCGTTGACATGAGGTGGAGAGGCGCTCCTTGCTAACCTCTTTGGCGCGGGTTCATCGTCTTGTTCATCCACAGGGAGTGAGGCGTTGTTGGAATACTCTGGATCCTCTTTCTCTTCCTTAATAAACACAGGCTGTTGCGCGTTTTTCTCTGT